TTTTAAAAAAAAAAATAGTTAGCTTGAATCATTAAATTTTGGGAGTATGGATTCCCTTTCACAAATATCACTCAAAAATATAGAAAGTGGATAAATGATAACATACAAATTGGTGCTATAAATATTTCCACAAACTCTAACATGGTAAAGTCATAACAAGGGCAACAAGAAGATGGATGATAATAATTATTAAACTGGTTGATTAAACTGATAGAAAGGTATTTGATTAAATTTTTTGAAATTTTATGGAAACTTTTAAAAAATTAAGGAAAATAAGTGCTAATTTTAGCACTCTAAAAGAAAAATTCTAATAATTCTTGAAATTAATGAGATTTGTATATTTTAATAAAACCCTAACAAATGAAACCTTTTTATGTGTAATTTGAATGTGAAAAAGTATATATGTTTGAATTGCCACAACTATTAAATGTGTTTCATTTTTTTAATTATAAAATGAGTAATACTACACAATATTAGTAGTAAAATATGATTGGCTAATTTTAAATTAAAATTAACTTTCACCCAATATCTTTGTGACATAAATTGTATAAGATGTTGTATGTATAGTATTTCTATAAATATTACATGTAAATATAGAAAAATCTGGGTGTTGGTTGTTATTTGGAAGGATTTTGGAAATAATAGTGGGTAGTGTGAGCGGGTTTATATATGAGAATAGGATTGAAAAAATGTGTCTGGTTGAGTATTTTGACCTTGTTATTTGTGGTGAATATTGATTGATATATTTTTTATAAATATAATATTGGTGCATTTTGTTTAAATAGATTTATTATAACCTTAAAATTTATTAATTTACATTTAATATATTAAACATTTATTGGTAATTTCGTAACAGTAAATATTAAAAAAAAACCATATTAATTTCAGTACTAATCCAACTATTAAAAAACACACTCAATATATGACAAAGGTACTAATTACAACCCTTAGAATCGTGTTACAGTATACTCCATTAAACAACTATACATGGTCAATGTCCTACACAGTTCAGTCATTATGTTATCCGTATAGGTCATGTTTGTTATAATACCTTGCTGCGGTTTGACTCGGTCCTTCTCATTTCCACCATCTTCTGCCCATATTGGCGATCACCATATATTGCTCATTACCATTTTTCATATATTGTTCGAAGATAGGATCCTTCGTATTGTACATTCTGATAAAATTATGAAGTACACAAACATGCCATAACAATCTTCCCTGTTTGTCCAACGGGTAATTGTTCATTCCATTCAGAATAGAAACTGTTTTTAAAACACCAAAGGTTTCTCGACAACATTGCGGAAGTGAAGCATGTATGTAGTTAAACAACTGTTGTGGCCTCTTCGGTTACGGTGGTGATCAGAAATATGGCAAGCACACTATGAGGGGTGAGGAACCCTCTCTATTTAGATAACCGCATCAACCAAATAGTATTTCCCATAATAAAATCCACACACGTATTTGAAATTTAAGGCCTTAACAGTGGAGCAAATACGCTATAATATGTCAAGAAAATACTTATACACTGGGGGAGGATTGGGAATCCAGAATTAGGATTATCAAGAGTTGAATTTAAAACTCTTAAATCATGCGCAGATCTTTCCCACAGTAATGACATAAGTGAACATCATCTTAAAGTCGCATACAACCCACATTCTGTGGACAATGTTCCTTTGCGATTTCGGTACACTATCGACAAATTCCTCTGGAACTGAAGCGTATACAGGTGTGCCATCAATGGCTCCATACAATATATCATCAAAATTGAATTTTAGTAATAACCGACTATAAACATTAATAACACAATGAACTTAACAAAACATAATGAAGAAGTACCTTAAAGAAAAAGGTAATATTTTCGGTTGGTGAGATTTTCCCATGGAAACATCTGAAGTCAAGTGGCTTGATAACTCTGTTTCACTCACATATCGCCTCGCAAACTGTGCCAACATATCTAGAGATCGTCTCACTCGAATGTTGGAAATCCTCCATCAATCTGATTGTCTCGTTTTAAACGATTGTTAGAAATATCATAACTTGTTCTTCCATACTCTCCCCTGGTTGGTCGCAATTTCCCTATTAGCCCAAATGTAAAAATAAGTATGTAAACCTTTTTATCCATGTGGATTGTCAAATCCTGTCAGCATGACCCTAGAGTACATCCAACAGTACTCATACCATGTTAATATGGATGGATGGTAGTTGAAACCCAACTGTTTCTATGCGGCAACACCGCAGAGTAATGGTTAATCTATCAGTATTCTTCTTCCTCATTTACATTCGTTGTCTTCTTCCTGTTGGCTAGATGACACCATTTAAACTGCACATGTGCAAAACATTGATCAACAATAACAGTGGTTGTACTACTTAGCGAAATAAACAGTCAAATAATTCTAATGACAATCCAAAACTCATATGAAACATGTAATTCACATAAAAACTCTAGACAATGAATAAGTTTATAGTAGCAGACATTTGGGGAAATTTCAAATCAGGTGGTGAACAGAATTTTGGTTTAGCCCTAAAAGGACAAGTGCCCACTGGTGAGCATGTTTCTTACAAGAGACGGAGACCAAGTTTCGTTATATTAATTGATTTCGAATTGAACTGTTTTTGTTTTTTTTTTGGTTTTTGCTAAGAACGTTTTCTGTTTTACACAAAACCCCCCAGCTTTGTTCACATAACATCAAATTCGGCTAGACACTCTTCGTGGGATCGACCCTTGCTTACCCTATTTACAGTTCAGTAGTTAGGTTCGGAAGGTTTTAATTCTGGGTGCCTACGACAGCACGCCAGTAGGTAAAGGTAAGGTCCTAAGTAATATACTTGTATAATGAACCTTAATAGTTTATGAAAGGTCATATTCCCTTACTAAGCGATGAGCGCTTACCTCATGAAATTTTTTAAAATGTTTTATAGGTAAGAATTGAAGCTTAAAGCTGGGAGAGGCTACTAGGGAATGACATGCGCATGAAGGAATGCTTTTGCTATGTTTTGAATTTTTTTGTAAAATAACATCAAATGGTTTTTGGTTTATGGATGTTGAATTAAATATGTTTTAATAAACCTTGTATGACCATTTCCTTGTCAAATGAATGAAAAAGGTTAAATGATGTTATATACTTATGATAATAACTCCATAGGAAGCTAAATTTCTTAAATTATTTTATGGATATGAGATGTTTAATATCATGCATTTAAAAAAAAAAAAAAAAAAAACAAAGACAAAACAAACAAAAGTATAGGTTTTAAAACAAACTCATTTCCTAGGCGTGTCTTTTCTAGGTTCTCAATGGCCAAGGGATACTTAGGAAATACCCTGCTAGGAAGGGGTTTTACAGTTGGTATCAGAGCATGATTTTGGGTGTTCTAAATGATGTTTTGATTGAATTGTTATAGTTATTTTATATTTAATTGATGTTGGAAATGGTGTTTGTAAGTAATGGAAGTATCATTCCTCATGCGTCCCCAAGATACTCTCTCCAGCCGATTGCTGTAAGTATTTTCTTTACTTGCTTAGTGAATAGAATTAGCTAATGTTGATTGAAATTTGTGTAAGTAAAGGGTATGGCTACGAGGTGTACACAAAAGGTTAATAGGAGGGGCTAGGAGAATGTTAATGAAGCAGGCACTAGTGAGCCAGTAGCACCGAATGTCAATGCGCCCCCTAATAGTAGACCAACTACTTCTACCCAAAATGTTTATGTTTTGGATAAGGCTGCAATCAACAGGATGATTCAGGCAGCCATTAGTGAGGCCTTTAGGAGGGTTACCTTGGAAAGTATAAGTAACCAAGTGAATGCGAATCCCTCAGTTCCAGTAGTTCAGCCTCAGCTCCAAATACCGGTTCCACCTCCAGTAACCAGACTAGTTATGCCGATGGGTGCTACACCTTTTGGTCAAGTGGAACCAATCTATAATCTTTCTCAAAAGCACCAACCTTCAGAGTTCAGTGGTTCAAACGATTCGACGGTAACAGAGGAGTGGTTAGAGACTGTCGAACGGGCAATGGCGTTGTTTCCCATGAGTGACCAAGAAAAAGTCGTCTATGCTTCCTATTTGTTTAGAGGAGATGCCCAGGTATGGTGGAAGCTAATGGAGCATACCTATATGCCAAATTCCTTTTCTTGGAATGAATTCAAAAGGCTATTTGAAGCAGAATACTAATCGGCGGACATGTTATCTGTAAAGACTCAAGAGTTCATGGAATTGAAGCAAGCTAATATGACTGTTAGAGAGTATGCTACAATGTTCAACTCCCTAGCCTGTTTTGCTCCTACTATGGTGAGTACTCAACAGTGTCGGTTAGAGAGATTTGTTAATGGATTGCACCCAAAAGTTACCTAGATTGTTATAGCGGGTGGTCAGCCTCCCCAGACTTACAGTAAGGCCATGGAATGGGCATTGAGAGCAGAGATTTATATGAATATGGAGAGGCAGATGAAGAACTGGTGATCGGTAGTTCTAGTTTGAGCCAAATAGCAGTTTAGAAGGTTGAAGTGGGGAATTCCACTCAGGCCCCGGAGGACAAAGGTAAGAGAAAGTTTCAGCAAAGATTTCAAAAGAAGGGCGGCAAGAATAAGAGTTCTCCACATCAACAATAGAGAAGGAACAATCTTCCTTATTGTAAAAAATATGGGAGGATGCATAAGGGGGATTGTCTATTAGGGACCAATGTGTGTTTCAAATGTAAACAACCGGGACATATGGCAAAAGACTATAAAGTTACTCATGCTACTTCCCTTCAGACTATTGGAGGTTTGACTACCAGAGTTTACTCAGTGGCTGAGAAAGAAGCTAAAACTAGTCCATCTACAGTTACTGGTCAGTTATAATTCCACTCTACTTCTTTATATGTATTGATTGATTCTGGGGCTACCTATTCTTTTATCTCATATGCTATCATAAAAAGATTAGGTTTAAAGCCTAGTAAAGTGGAACATGCTGTTAAAATTGAGATGCCTAATAGGGAGAATTATGGTTTTGATAAGTTGTAAATGGGGGAAACTATAGTGATTGATGGGCATGAGTTTGATGTTGATTTGATTGCTTTTGATATGCCTGATTTTGATATGATTTTGGGAATGGACTTCCTGAGCAAATATGGAGTATTCATAGACTGTCTGAAGAAAAAGGCTAGGTTAATTTAGATGCTGGAGACAAATTCACCTTTGGTGAAGGTTATCTACACAGCTTGATGATAAGTGCAGTGAGGGCAATGAAGATGATAAGGAAGGGTTGTACAGGGTACATAGCTAATGTGGTGAATAAAGAAAAGTTTCTAGACTTTGGTGTTTGGGATGTACCCATAGTACAAGAATTCGAAGATGTATTTCCAGAAGATTTGCTAGGACTTCCTCCAGAAAGAGAAGTGGAGTTTTGTATAGAGTTAGCTCTTGGCATGGCACCAATATCTAAAGCCCCGTATAGAATGGCTCTAGCAGAGTTACAAGAGTTAAAGAAGCAACTTCAGGAGTTGTTGGATAAATGTTTCATTCGACCCAGTCATTCTCCATGAGGAGCTTCTATTTTATTGGTCAAGAAAAAAGATGGTTCGATAAGAATGTGTGTCGATTAGAGGGAGCTCAATAAGATGACGGTGAAAAACAAGTATCCATTGCCAAGAGTTGATGACTTGTCTGATAAGTTAAAGGGAGTTTCGGTGTTTTCCAAGATTGATCTTCGGTCAGGCTACCATCAAGTGAGGGTCTCCAACAAGGATATTCCCAAGACTGCATTCTGAACCAGGTACGGGCATTATGAATTTATAGTGATGCCATTTGGATTGACTAATGCACCAATGGTGTTCATGGATTTAATGAATACGATTTTCCATGATTGTCTAGATAAATTTCTGGTAATTTTTATAGATGATATCCTGGTCAATTCCAAAACAAAAGAAGATCATGAAGAGCATTTGAGGTCTATTCCAAAACAAAGGAAGATCATGAAGAGCATTTGAGATTTGTGTTACAAAGACTAAGAGAGAAAAATTTATATGCTAAGTTCTCCAAATGTGAGTTTTGGTTGGATCAAGTAGCATTCTTGGGACATGTTGTTTTACAAAGGGTATTTCAGTGGACCCTAGTAAGATTGAAGTAGTGATTGAATCACCAAGACCAAATATTGTAAAAGAAGTTAGAAGTTTTCTTGGTATAGTAGGGTATTACAGGAAATTTGGGGAAGGCTTTGCTAAATTAGCTTTTCCACTCACAACTCTGACATAAAAAGAAGCCCCGTTCAAATGGACTGAAACCTATGAGAAGAGTTTCTAAGAATTGAAAAGAAGATTGACTACTGCTCCTATTTTAACTCTTCCAGAGGATAACATAGAGATGATATCTATACTGATGCTTCTCATAATGGTTTAGGGGCGGTGCTAATGCAGCAAGGCAAGGTGATTGCATATGCCTTTTGTTATGAAACGATCAAGTTATGGCAGCTGAAACAAAAAATCATAAACAACATGGATCGTTCCTTAGAACCAAGATTAGGGTCCAAATTTAACAATCTATGCATTAAATACAAATATGTAGAAAATCAATTTAAAGTTAAGAAACCATACCCACGTTTGAAGGCTCCTCAACTTTAACTCTGAATGGGTTTCTCTACTGATCCAAGGGTAGGATCAAATCACCGTTAGTCCATACGAAGATAATCCCAAGGAACTAAAAAGGGATTTGCTAGATCCTCTTTAGCCTTAAGATACAAGAACAAAATCAAGCAAATTTTGTTTCAAGCAAAAGGAAAACTGGCATGGGAGAGAAAAGGGGGCTGAGATTTTTATCAAATGATTGAAATGAATGAATTATTAATTTCACAAAGTGTTGCACTTATATAGTGCACATTTTTCCCTATTCCATCATGGAATAGGCTTGGGCAAGAACCCAAACACCCCTTGTATCCAAACAGCCCCATTTAGATATTTTAATTTTAATTATCATTATCTCAATTAAATTAAATTAAATTAAATTAATATATATTTATTATATATATTAACATTTAACAATAATGATAATTTATTTAAATATATGCGAACACATATTTAAACGTAATCTCACTTCTTTAATTTTAATATCAAATTAAATAAAGGCTATGACCTCAGCAAATTTAATTGCACTGTGAGATTACCAAAATACCATTTTTGCCTAAAAAGACAAAAACACCCTTCTTATAAACTGGGCTCTTAAATTATCTTCTATGTGTGTGACCCGTAGGCTCTTCATCGTACCGGTATTGTGTAGTAATGCGATTAACACCAATTAATCATCTCACTACACACAGACCAAGATTGGCCCCTAACAAGGCATCATGGCCACCCGATAGATACGAATTCAGCGAAGCAGCTACCTGTCAACAATATGGTTGCCGTACAATCCAATCATTTCATCATTCGTTATCTCAACGAGACTGGGGCATAGAAATATGTCAACCTTGGTTCGTCTCGATATTATGTGTTCAGTTATTGGACCAATGGCCTGAATTATAAACTGGATAGAGCAACAACTCAATCCCACTGTGGCCACAGTTTTAGTGTCATTGCCATTTACTAAATTGCACCGTAAGATAACTTCCCTCCGTACCCGCGAGTGATAAATCCTCTATCGACCCATCATAGTCTTGATACACTCCTTTATGTAGCCAATCATTACCCTATTGATAGCTCTAAATAAAACTGCGTTGGGCTAGTGTCAAATTACACCAATCGATGCACAAGGCTCTCCGGTGATCTCAAGTCTAATGATCACATGCACTACCATTTGTTAGAGGATTTGTTCCATAGACACTGAGGTTACCATCCCTATGGAATCCTTTGGTGGGTCAGTCTAGTGAACTTGTCTACAGCAAGCACCTATGTGTTGCACCAGGTTGTCATCAAACAACCTTGACAAGTGAGACCAGTCACTGCCTTTTGACAGGGTCGTTCAACACTATGATAGCTTTATCGTATTATTTGTGCCCTTACTTCAGAATAATACTAGGACCACGGACGTTTCTAGAATGGCCACCATATGTACTCATAGGGTTCTCACTATCAAGATTTGAAACACTTGATACCCTCGTCAAGGTTCTACCATTCTAGACATATATCAATACATACAGTGATGATTTACGCGATATAGAATAAAATGTCTTATTGATCAATGAACATTATTACAAGGAGTCAATTCTACAATAATTGATTGGCTATAGGGCACCTACTCTAACAATCTCACACCTGCACTACAGCCAATCATTCATGTATTTAATACCAAATGATCTTAAGTGCCTTTCATGCTTCTACTGCGACAGAGGCTTTGTCAGTGGATCTGCGAGATTGTCATCAGTATGCACTTTACGGATCTACATTTCTTTCCTCTCAACCATTTCTCTGATGTGATGGAATCGTCTGAGTATGTGTCTGGACTTCTGATGAGACCATGGTTCCCTGGCTTGAGCGATTCCTCCATTGTTGTCATAATAGATGTCTATTGGATTAACAATCATGGGAACCACACCAAGTTCAGTGACAAACTTTCTAATCCAAACTGCCTCCTTGGCCGTATCTGCTAATGCAATATACTCAACCTCCATTGTAGATTCCACTACAGTGCTTTGCTTGGAGCTCTTCCAACTCACTACACCCCCATTGAGACAAAATACAAACCCTGATTGCGATCGATAATCATCTTTGTCCGTTTGGAAACTAGCATCACTGTATCATCTTACAGTAAGCTCATCTTCCCCTCCATAAACCAAGAACATATCCTTGGTCTTCTTCAGGTACTTAAGAATGTTCTTGACAGCCATCCAATGACGCTCACCTGGATCCAATTGATATCTACTACAAGTGCTCAAAGCACATGAGACATCAATCCGAGTACATAGCATGGCATACATGATAGATCCAATTGCTAATGCATATGGAATCCTCTTCATCCTTTCTCTCTCATCTTGTGTTCTAGGACACATTTCCTTAGAGAGATAGACACCATGTGACATCAGAAGAAATCCTTTCTTGGATTCTTCCATACTAAATCTTTTCAATACTTTGTCAATATATGCACTCTGACTTAGGCCAAGCAACCTACGCGATCTATCATGATAGATCTTTATTCTAAGGATGTAGGCTGTTTCCCCTAAGTCCTTCACGGAGAAGCACTTGGATAACCAAGTCTTTACCGACTACAAGTTTGGTATATCATTCCCGATCAAAAGTATGTCATCGACATACAACACAAGGAATGCCACTGCACTCCCACTCACTTTCTCGTAAACACAGGGCTCATCTTCGTTCTTGATAAAACTGAATTCTTTTACGGCTTCATCAAAACGAATGTTCCAGCTCCTTGAAGCTTTCTTGAGTCCATAAATGGATCTCTACAACTTGTATACCCTATCAGCTTGCCTATCAAGAATGAAACCATCGGGCTGTGTCATATACATAGATCCTTTTCAAGGTTTCCGTTCAGGAAAGCTGTTTTGACATCCATTTGCCAAATCTCATAGTCATGATATGTAGCAATCGCAAGCATAATCCGAATGGATTTAATCATGGAAATCGACGAAAAGGTTTCTTCATAGTCAATACCATGAATTTGTTTGAAACCTTTGGCAACCAGTCGTGCCTTATAAGTATGCACCTTGTCATCCATGTCAATTTTTTTCTTGAAGACCCATTTACACTCTATGGGTTTTACCCCTTCAGGTGGTTCCACTAGAGACCATACTTGGTTCTGGTACATGGAGTCCATCTTAGATTTCATGGCTTCAACCATTTAACGGAATCTGTATCCGATATAGCATCTTTGTAGGTTCTGGGTTCATCGTCTTGGTAGACTAGTACATTACCATGTTGAGTCATGAGATAACCGTATCTCTCAGGCTCATGGTGTACTCTCCCAAATCTACTTAGTTCTTGTGCTACCTGAGGTGGTTCACTTTGATCCACAGTTTGTGGAGTAACCTCCTCATGATGTTCAACCACTTCCTGTGGCACATCATCCCGTCCTTCATCTTGTATAATTTGTGGTTCTAGAACTTCATCGAGTTCTACTTTTCTCCCACTAGTACTTCTTAGAAAAAATTCCTTTTCTAGGAAGACACCAGAACAAGCAACAAAAATTTTGCACTCTTCTAGGTGCTAGAAATAGTATCTTTTGGTCTCCTTTGGATACCCCACAAGTATACATTTACAGGATTTGGGGTCCAGCTTTTTCGAAGTCAATTTCTTAATATAAGCTTTGCAACCCCAAATCCTTAGATAAGACAAGTTGGGCTTTCGCCCACTCCATAGTTCATATGGAGTTTTATCTACAGACTTTGATAGCACACGGTTCAAAATGTGAGTCGCAGTCTCTAGGGCATAACTCTAGAATGATGCAAGTAAATCACTAAAACTCATTATGGACCTAACCATGTCATGTAAGGTCATATTCGTCCTTTCAGACACTCCATTGTGTTGGGGTGTATATGAAGGGGTGAGTTGTGATACTATCTCACATTCCTTCAGGTATTCAGAAAACCCTAAGCTTAAGTATTCACCTCCTCGATCCGACAAAAGAGTTTTAATACTTTTGCCTAACATATTTTGTACTTCATTCCTGAATTCTTTGAACTTATCAAAGGCTTCAGATTTATGTCTCATAAGGTAGACATAACCGTATCTACTGAAATCATCAGTAAATGTGATGAAGTATGAATATCCACCTCTGGCTTAAA